CAGCTACACTTAACTATAGGAAATATATAACCCCAACGCTATCTACATATCCTAGGTTCAGCCACTACAGTAGAGCACATATCATAAAAGGAATTTGGGTACCTCTTTCTTCGTGTTCCCTGGCTTTGCTTTGTCGTCGGCACCGCCATCCAGTCATCGCGGTCACGGAACTGGTGCGTCCGGCGTTGACGAAGGGGTACCAGATCTGGCTTTAGCTAGGGATCAGATCCGGTCGGTCGTGATAGGTGCCAAGCTAGGTAGGGGATACGAATCCTGCTTGTACCATCATCGAGATGGTCCTTCCACCGTCAGCTGATCGACCTGCTATAGACGAATCAAAGGGGATCCGGCTCCGGCTAGGGTTTAGAAATGTATGACATAGGGTGCGGCTGGAGAGAGGAGAGGGAGTCGAGCTGCTGCTCCGATGGCGCCTAGGGTCCAGAGCAGGGTGGCAGAGAGGGCGGCTAGAAAGTGGAAAGGGGGGCCATGGGACTAGGATTTGGAGGAGAGACGGTGTGGCTGGAGAATGGAGATGGAGGCAGAGACGGAGACTCTTTGTGCTTTTATGTGGCCATCACATTACCACAAATGCCTTTGTCTGAAATAGATGGCATGGTAAACCTATTTTCTGCATGGAGGGCAAAAGAGAGACATCTAATTTTTGGTGCGTATTGGCGGGACTGCTCGGCGCGGTGCGAAATCAAATTTTCAGGCGGGCAGACCGCCCCGTCTGCTCAGTAGAGACCAGAATTTCGGGTGGCCTTAGTTGTTGCCTTTTTGATTTTTTCATAATATAAATAAACATAAAACTAAAAGAGGATGATAATAATAAAATATTAAAAGATCCATGAATTTGACAGCTAAAGATTACCAAAAAAAGAAAAAATAAACCTGCTCGCTGCAGCTTATTGCACTGCAACTTTTGATTTTTTTGTGTGACTACATCTGTAGATGTTTGAACTAAGACCTATAATTAGGAAGCAAGGGGAAGGCACGCCCAGGGATGGAAAACCCTCCAAAAAAACTAAATGGGTTATTCAAATGATATCCCCATGGATTTCCACCTTGAAAAAAGTAGTCATGGATTCTAAGGTGCTTTGAGTTTCTAGAGAAGAGAAAAAATTAAAGCATCCTCCTCCTGGCTATCGCTATTGCGATTCGTCGACTCACCAGTACTCCGGATTGTCCTCCTCCTCACTGGAGTCGTAGTCGGTGCTGTACTTTCCATCGCTCGAGTATGTCCCCATTGTTCGTGAGCCTCGAGCCGGTCACCAGCGCTGTCTTAGCGAAGGTGAACGTGGACGACAACATCCTGCATGCCCGCCTCGACCCTTGATCTATGGGACGTATCAGTAGTACAAGTCATGACTAGGCTTGGTCTATGGGACAACCATATGTGAAGTTTTATTTGCATGCATGTCTGTGTTAACTTTTGTTGAACTTTGTATTAGGTCGGTTAAACTCTGTTGAGTGTTGTGTAGTTCAGGTCCTTTGGTCATTTGGTAACTGGTTACACTAACGGTGTTTGCCCTTTCTGATCGGAGGGCGTGGGTGTATAGATGTTGAAATTTTCTAGACCCTAAGATAGTCTGACCCTACAAAATATAGACGATTCAGATCACTACGAAATACAGGGGCCATCCAAGTAGTCCATAGATCCCGACTACCTAGGGCTAACAATTAGTTCTAGTCTATAGAATCCAACAATTAGTTGAGGATACAAATAGGTATGGACTAATAACACAACTAATTGGCTGATTCTGAGTTGGCTATTTTTTAGCCATGGCTAACTAGTCGTAGTCCATCAAAACAGGGCCTAAGACAGTTCGATGCTAAAGAAATCTTGATAGGCCGGATCATAGTTTTGATGAAACAACAAAATACAGATCGTGTCAACTCTTGCGCCATATATGTGGGGTCGTGGGCATGCAGCCACGCGCGCATGGGTCGTGGGGTGTTCCACGACCCGCGGACTATATAACAACAGAGATAAGGGCGAGAGGAAGGGTCTCCAGAGCTCCTGCTTTAGTTCCATCCCAAAGCTTTTGCCCTCCTCCCTACTACTAGGCATATTTGTTCTTCGTTTTTTTTCTACATATTGTTTTCTTTTTTACATAGATCATGGATAACTATGATCATTCTTGGGACATGTCTGTGTATCACTATGGCTTCCATGAGCTTCGTGTTCGCCATGGCCTACAAACAAGGGTTGTAGTGCTTGCAGTGCATTCTAACTTTTACAGTAGGTGGTACATTGCTTCTGTAGTTGTTCATCAAGTTCTTGGCCATCGAAACTATAGTCTTTCTAAGGATCATCTAGGACCCTATGTGCTTGTTGCGGCTCGTTTAAATGAAGATCTCCAGACCTTAATTTCATACCACTATGAGTTCCGTGGTGCAGAAGTATTTTCTCATTGTATCGGTTATCTTACAATCCGTCTGAATGATCTAGAGATTGGTGGAGTTCGTGCAGTTCCTCTCAACTGAGCAGTAGCAACATGGTTAGATGGTGTTAATGTTTAGTATCTCATAACACTGATGTTCTGATTTGTGTTTTCAATGTTCATTGGAGACAATTCTGATGTTCTTTAGTTTATCTTGTTGTAATAATATCCATGTAAATGGACTTTTGTTGAACTTTGTATTAGGCGAGTTAAACTCTGTTGACCAAATATATATAGACAAGTACAGTATTGATGAAATGACATTTACCTATTTCTTGTAAATCATATGCATGCCTCATAGTCCGAGTCATGTAAATTTGACCAGCCCGGACATTTTACTTTGCTACTGAGCTGTGACTAGAACTTTTGCCAGATCGACTGTGCTACAAAGAACAGCTGCACCGGCTGTGGCTGCATGCATGAAGTACTAGTAAGGTAGTTGGATTTGAAGCGGCATCTTCAGCCACAGTCGAGCGAGTGCAGACGATCAGGACCTATGAAACCATGTAGCCATCTCTAGCTAGCTGCCCCTCGACTACTATGAGTGCTTGGAGTGAAATAACTGCAGAGGCTTTCCTCATGCATTCAATTCACTCATCGCAACTGCGCAAGGGTTGCTTTGTGCCTCAGTTTGTTGAACCAAACACGTATAAGTAGTACTAGTAGTCATCAGTGGCTTTGATCTTGCAAGAACCAAACACGTATCAGTAGTCTTCGATAAAATTTGTTGAACTTGCAATAAACATGCAGTGAGGAGTTCATCTCAACAAGTATCGCCTTCGATCTAATGCATCACTGATGAGACATAGCTGTTGAATTTTACTACGAACGCAAGAAAGTTCGACCGCTGTATATTTGATCTTGTAGGACACAGTATAAAGGGTCATCAATTTTGAATGTCGTAGCAACCAGTCTGCCCCTCGACTATTGTGACTGCTTGGATTAGAGTAAAAAAAGTATAGAAAAGACCCATCACAACCGCACTAGGCATTCATGTCTCAAGCGTGTCATGGTGGTCAAAAGCTCCTTTTCTCGATTCCTTCTTGTGTCTAGCTTTCCTGCCGCATTCACTTCACTCTCGTCAACTGTTCAAGGTCTATATGAAAGGAGCGTCCGCCTTCCCTAGTCCGATAGCATTGCATCAGTCTGCTTGCTCCCCCCTTCCCTCACCCGTTTGCATTTTCCCAATCGCATTCCCTATTGGTTTAGGATCTAGATAAAGGTAATGTGCTTCATATTAAACCATACTATTTGTATCAACTTATTAGTGTGTCTGCTAACCTCATTGCTTCCCCCCTTTCCTCAATTGTCATTTGTTCTAACCAAAATCATGTTTACAGATGGCAACTACTTACCATACCATGGTTGTGTACTCTACAACAAATGATGTGTTTTGGCAGCTAGATGTGGAGCCAGGAGAACAGAACAGGTTGCTTGTGACTTGGGGGCGTCGTGTACATGACCGAGCTGCGTGATGCCTAATCGTTGAAGCTGTTGTTCATGCGGTTGTTGGGCAACAACACATTACAAGAGTTGTTGAAGACCATGATTCTAGAGAAATCTTTGTGCTTTGCAGCACTATTGCGGATGCTCGTCGGCTCTCTGACTACAGTGTCGATGTCAGTGGAGACTGCGTCATTTTCAAGATGGTTCACCGTCTCAACTTGATTAGAAGTCCTTATGACCTCAACTTTCTCAACAAGACCAAACCTATTCGATGACATTGAGATTTTGTGTGCTTTGGCTACTGTTCATTGTCCTGTGTATCAGTAGTACTACTAGTAGTAGTAGCCATGACTGGCTTTGATCTGTGGGATAGCATGAAGTCATGTAGTTTATGTGTTGAGCTCATGTAGTAGGAACCCTTGCTAATATATGTTGTGTTATTTGCATGTCTGTGTTAAACTTTGTTAAACTTGCCAAAACCTTGAACCGAGGAGCAAGTCTGGCCTTAATCTAATGTAGAAAAGAAGAGCCATTGGTGTTGAAATGTTACTGGACAAGCAAGAAAGTTCGCCTGCCATTTTTTAACGCCTCGAACAGTGAAGATGCTGTAGTGGATGATGTTTCCTTAGTTGGTTTCTGTTTGTTTTTTTGTTTCCTTGGGTGTCTGGCCTGATGGCACGAAGTCATGTATTTTATGTGTTGAGCACATGTACGAGAAGGTGACCGCACATTCCTCGTGGCTTAGATCTGCAGAGGGAAAGGGAGAGCTCCAGGAAGGTAGGAAATAAAACAAGCGGAGTTGCGGACGAGATCAGGGCGGTTAGAGCGACGGAGAGGAGAAAGCAATGGAGCGGAGATTTACTCAAAGATTTTGAATTTTGACCAAATATATATAGAGGAGTATGATGCGTAATAAGTATTTTATACAACATAAAACAATGAGCTTAATCAATAAACCTCTTTGATGAAGTGCGAGAGGAATCTCTGCACTGCCGGGTCAAGATACATAGACAAATCTCGTCAGCACATTGGGCAGGTGGATCTCCGACCGAACCACTTGGTAATGCACTTAAGGTGGAATGTGTGGCCGCAGTCGGGCATTTTCACAGCATGGACGGCCACAGGATTAGATGTTTCATCCTCCAGGCAGATGCTGTAGTCCCGACACCCCGCTGGTGCTGCCTCTGCCTCAGCCTCCGCGCAGAGCGTCAAGAGCGCCTCGGACGCGATGAACTTCAACTGTTTGTCAACCCAAAGCTCAACCATGGCGTGGGTGATACAGCCATCTCGACAGGCCTCATGCGCCAGGGCCACGAGTTTAGGAACCTCGGGCTCGAGAAGGATGTCCTCCCACTGCTTGTCGGTGAGATTGAGTTGCTACAGCCGCATGAATGTCCTGATCATGCCATGAAGGACATCACGGACACCTTCCTGGTAGCCGGGGATGCCCATGGCTTGATTCGCCTTCAAGATCCTGGTGGCGCTGCCTCCTTCGTATAGGAGGTACACCGGCTGCTAGTGATCGCCGGCTTTGAGGGTCTTGGTCACCATGCATTCTAGGCTCACAGAGAATGATGCTTCAAGGACGCTCTCGCCAGATGGATCCTTGATGGTGAAGATGTTCTTCGATGTCGTTCTACACTTGATGCGGTGTTTGAAAGTGGAAAACTGGTAGCAGGATCTCCGATGAAGTTCATGGTGATGGCTACTCTATGGGTCTACTGGCTTAGTTTGTAGCTATGATTTGAATTTGTTTGGATTTGGAGCAAGGGCGATTTAAAGGGAACCCGATGTTAAATTGCTACGGGATGAACAGAGGGACAATTACGAGATGGAATTTGAAGTGAATCGCTTCGAATGTAGAGGACCTTAGATGGCTTCCAGTAAATACCGTCCTGAATTCTAGGGGTTGGTGAACAGTTTCCAATACTAGACGTGTTGGGAATATGCTAGTAGAACATGAGGTGTGTCTGGCCCGGTCAGATTTGCAATGCTCGAACTTTCTTGCATGTACTGTATAATTTGAATAGCTATGTGGCTCCTCCGTTAGGCATTACATCGACGCGAGACTTGATCAGATGAATTCCGTTATGCATGTTTACCATTCTACAAATTAGAAAGAGAACTACACTAGGGATTCAAGTCTCAAGCATGTCATGGTGGTCAAAAGCTCCTTTTCTTAAGTATGAAGTCATGTTAATCATCTGTAGTTAGAACTAGTATGTATCGGTAGTAGTTGGATGACATTGTGTAGTGGGATTGCACTGCTCTCCTCTTACTTGCATGTATTAGATAAAATTTGTTGAACTTCCAAGAACCATGCAGCGACGAGTTCATATGAGCAAGTCTAGTTTTTCCTCGTTTTCCTGTGATGCTTGTTACTGTGTCATTTACAATTTTAAGTTTGGGCCCTATTTTTAAATCTAGGTCGGCGCGTAGGATTGTCCGGACCGCTGAGAAACAACATGGGCTGGACTTTAGTGCACCATGCAACGTGACATACATCGAATGGAACTTTGTTTACTCCTCTGTTAATTTTACAAGAACAAGGGAACATGGAGACCCTGAACGAGCACCTCGCAAACTTGAAGCACCCCCAATCAAGTATGGAGCACCTAAATAGGAGAGAACAAGGGAACAAGATTTGCTATGATTCACTTTCCCAAGACCCTTTTACATGGACGCCTAGAACTCGAGCGAGGCATCGTTTGGTTCCTCGAGAAAGAACCATCCCATTGGACAATTCACTTCCCTGAGACACGTTTACATAGTATACGTGATCCTTCAAGAACATGGAGTCTCCGCCTACATAAACCGCTGGCCCTATTTCCCTAGCACTCTCCGCCTCGTCATAGTTGCGCATTCATACTTCTCTCCGACGCCACATCCGTCGTCGTTCGTCGCGCGTGCTCCAACTCTGCTTCTTCCTTGGCTACGTCGTGATGGATCGGCTCCCGATGGAGTTGGCCACGGACATCGCTGGCCGCGTCACTGAACAGTCATATGCCCCCATGGACAACCTTGCTAGCTTGCGGTTAACCTGCTCGTTCATGCACATGGTGTGCAGCACCGCCAAAGTTGGCCGGCACATACCACTACGCCGGGTTCTGCAGCGTCAAGGTTTTTGGGAGTGCCACTACTACTACGATGACTATCGCACCCTGCTCACCACCAGGCTGGCTAGCGTGGGCAACCTGGAGGCCTGCTTCCTTGCCGTCTTGCGTCCCATCTTCATGGAAGCCCACAGGTCGATGACGCCACCTATGGAATGGCTTTAGCACTCCACCGAGGCAGGTTATAAACTTGGTATGTACGTCTATGCCCTCATGCTCTATAGGTCCAATACCGGCAGTGGCAATGATGACATTGCCCGGCGCCTATTGAGGGAGCTTGAAGGTGCTGACAAAGCGGGGTTGGTTGTACTACCGTGGAAGAACCAGACCTTTCCGTAGTTCCGCCGAGACATGTACTAGAGGTTGCAGGACATGGTGCCACATGATGTAGTGCCCGATCTTCGCCCCATTCATCGCTAGGATGGGCATCATCAGTGCACAGGCAGCGGCTACGATGAGCCCATTAGATTTGAAGTATGGGAGTTGTGGTCTAGGTTCTGCAACGAGGAGTGTAGGATCTCACGGGAGTGCGATAAGTTATCCATATCAATGTGGTAGATTAATACTGAATTAGTGCATGTTAAGTTATGTTAAACATCTATGCCTGTATATATGTGGTTGGTGACTTTATTTTAATTTGGCAACAACATCAACTATATGTGTATCTTGTTGTTCGAAGTCTGCTGGTGAAAGGTCCTAATGGCTAGAGGGGGGGGGTGAATAGCCTAATAAAATTTCTACAACAACACTTAACAAAAGGATTAGACAATAATGAGGCGAAGCGAGTTTTGCGCTAGCCTACTCAAAAATGCAAGCCACCTACCACAATTCTAGTTTAGGTAGAATCTATTCACACAATAGCTATGACACTACTCAATGTTAGTGTGCTCTCAAAGGCTAGCTAAAGAGCCACACCAAGCAAGCAAGCAAGCTCTCACAACTAGCTACACTAAAGAGCTTGACAACTAGTTTGCGGTAGTGTAAAGAGAGTGATCAAGAATGTTATACCGCCGTGTCGAGGAAGGAGCCAATCAATCACAAAGATGAATAACAATGAAGACCAATCACCTCGGAATCAAATGATGAACACAATGATTTTTACCGAGGTTCACTTGCTTGCCTATAAGCTACTCCTCGTTGTGGCGATACACTCACTTGGAGGTTCACGTGCTAATTGGCATCACACGCCAAACCCTCGATAGGGTGCCGCACAACCAACACAAGATGAGGATCACACAAGCCACGAGCAATCCACTAGAGTACCTTTTGGCGCTCCGCCGGGGAAAGGTCAAGAACCCCTCACAATCACCACGATCAGAGCCGGAGACAATCACCACCCTCCGCTCAATGATCCTCGCTGCTCCAAGCCATCTAGGTGGCACCAACCACCAAGAGTAACAAGCGAAATCCGTAGCAAAACACAATCACCAAGTGCCTCTAGATGCAATCACTCAAGCAATGCACTTGGATCACTTCCAATCTCACAAAGATGTTTAATCTATGATGCAAATGAGTGGGAGGGCTTTGGCTAAGCTCACAAGGTTGCTATGTCAATGCAAATGGCCAAGAGAGTGAGCTTGACCCAGCCATGGGGCTTAAATAGAAGCCCCCACGAAATAGAGCTGTTATACCCCTTCACTGGGTTCTGATCGGGCTGACTGGACGCTACGGTCCTACTGACCGGACGCTGGTCCTCAGCGTCTGGTCGCCTGATGGCGGCCACGTGTCACCTGCGTTAAACTGTGAACGTTTGATCTCAACGGTCGAAATGTTGACCGGATGCTCCAACACTGTTGACCGAACGCTGGACCCTCAACGTCCGTTTGTTTCCAGTAAGGGTCCAAATCCAATTTTTTTCGACCGGACGCGTCCGGTCAAGCTTGACCGGACACAGCCTAGCGTCCGGTGCTTAACCCTAAGCACTGTGCATTCCGACAACTCGACCGGACGCACCTCTTTAGCGTCCGGTCGCTGAGCGACCCAGCGTCCAGTCAGTAGACCGACGCCAGCACCTTTGCGACCAACTCCATTTCATTTCTAACTTTTTCACCCTTGTTCAGATGTGCCAACCACCAAGTGTATCACCTTGTACACATGTGTTAGCATATTTTCACAAACATTTTCAAGGGTGTTAGCACTCCACTAGATCCTAAATGCATATGCAATGAGTTAGAGCATCTAGTGGCACTTTGATAACCGCATTCCGATACGAGTTTCACCCCTCTTAATAGTACGACTATCGATCCTAAATGTGATCACACTCACTAAGTGTCTTGATCACCAAAATAAAATGGCTCCTACAAATGATACCTTTGCCTTGAGCTTTTTGTTTTTCTCTTTCTTCTTTTCAAGTCGAAGCCCTTGATCATCACCATTGCATTGCCATTGTCATGCTATGATCTTCATTTGCTCCGCTACTTGAAGTGTGCTACCTATCTCATGATCACTTGATAAACTAGGTTAGCATATAAGGTTTCATCAATTCACCAAAACCAAACTAGAGCTTCCAATCTCCCCCTTTTTGGTAATTGATGACAACCCATATACAAAGATATGAATTAAAATTCAATTGAATCCATGTTGCTTGTCCAAGCATATTTACCATGTGTAAAAGAATATGGACAAGTTTCATGAACTCTAAATGGTAGCAATTGCTCCCCCTACATATGTGCTAAGAGTTTGGATTGAAGCGTGCACATATGCTTAGATAGGAAATATAGGAGACAATGTCTACCACATGATGCTAAGGTATAAAAGATGGACCTTTGAAGCATGATACCAATCGGAGTGCACCATTATATCATCCTTAGCACCATGGTTAGCTTGATACCACTTGGAAACAACACTTTGGAAATGAAATCATTAGATGTCCTATGCATGCTAATTTTTCAATTCATCATTCAAACCTATAACTAGCATACACCACACAACCATGGATATTGAAATTTAAAACTTGTGCCATGCAAACAACCATATGAAATGCACATTCAAATACACCATACAAGTTCATGAGCTTGCTCTCCCTACTTGTGTGCTCAAAATATTAATTGATTCCTTTCCTTTATCATATCTCTCCCCCTATGTCAAGTTCTCTCCCTTTGTTGTCTTCTCACCATCTTAGTACACTAATTTCTTTTGTTTTTCTCCCATGTACTAATTTCTTTGTTATTTCCCCTATCACTTTTATCTTTGTTTCTCTCCCCCTTTGTCATCAATGACCATAAAGGCTTAAAAGGTAGATAGGTTGAGATTATCAATGTCAATCAATGGGGTGAGGATTATATTCCCAAATTTGGTTCAAACTAGAATATTTGCCAAAGATATTTAACTCGGTTTGATCCAAGGACAAGCTTCTTCACACCTCCAAATAAGGGTTATCTTGTACCA